CCTGAGCTCAGGCAATACACCCACCTCAGCTTCCATCATTGTTGTTTGGCGGGCCCGGGCTGGATTCGAACCCACCACCTTAGGTGTATGTGGCTGGCGCCTTAGCCACTTGAGACACAGGCGCCGAGCCGGGAGTAGGGACACTTCTTAAGGGCCTGGGGAGCTCCACCCGCTCTGCAAGCGCAGAAATAAAGGAAAAGTTTGAGTTCCTTCAAGGGAAATTCAGGCACCTAGTCAGTCTTATAACCAGCAGTTTGGAAGTGAATGAATAACCCTCTAAGCAAGAAGATAATAATAACTTAAATCATAGTCACTGAAGAGTTACAAGATGATTAATTCTCTGTAGAAAGGAAAGATAACATCTTGATATAAGAGTTGTTTTTCAGAAATCAGGACCCCAACCAGGTGGAAACTGCCTACTGCTGTCATGTAGGCCTCAGACTGGAACCAGAAAATGAATAAGGAAGTTACAGAAATTTCCAGGCTTTATCTCACTTTTGAGGGCCCCACCCCCACTCCCTATCCCTGCTTTTATTTCTTATTTTATTTATTTATTTATTTATTTTTGGAGAGCGTCTCAAGCTGTCCCCCTGAGTAGAGTACTGTGGCATCATAGCTCACAGCAACCTCCAACTCCTGGGCTCAAGCCAGTCTCCTGCCCCAGCCTCCCAAGTAGCTGAGACCACAGGCGCCCTCCACAACGCCTGGCTATTTTTTTGGTTGCAGCCATCATTGTTTTGGCCACCGGGCTGGATTCGAACCTGCCACCTTATGTGTATGTGGCTGGCGCCCTGGCCACTTGAGCCACAGGCACCAAGCCCTTATCCCTGCTTTTAAAAACTTTTGCCTATGAACCATCAGGGAGTTGGGTTCTTAAGCATTAGCTGCTCTGTCTCTTTATCCAGCTCCTTACTTTCTCTCGCCACAAATAGTGAAGCTGGTGTTTGGCTTTGCTGCGCAGGGTAGATGGATTCAAATTTGGTTTGGTAACACTTTTAAATCTGTTGCATGAATAGGATATAGGGGAACATAAAGATCTTTTATATTTTACTTCCTAGAGTCAATCACGTTTAATATTGTGTTATATATCCTTGTGTTTTTTTTCATACATATCCATTTCATGTTTGGCATAATCAGTATCCTGCCTTGCAAAGGCATATTTTGGCTTCTTAACACAATATTCTGAATTTTCTCCCATTTTATTAGATATTCTTTTTTTTTTTTCCACTAAGTCTTGCTCTGTGGCCCAAGCTAGAGACTTCAAACTCCTGGACTCAAGCAATCATCCTGCCTCAGCCTCCTGAGTAGATGGGACAACAGACACCCATTACAACAGCCAACTGATTTTTCTATATTTAGTAGAGACTGGTTCTCACTCTTGCTCAGGCTGGTCTCCTGACTCAGCCCACCAGAGTGCTGAGATTACAGGCATAAGCCACCAAACCCAGCCTAAATATGTTTTTATAACATGATCTTTGTGGCTACATAAATGTACAAGTAGATTGTTCATATATTTTCTGCTTTTCTAGATACTTATAGATTCATCTTTTACTGTACATGCCTGATTTAAAAATTCTAGAACAGTGGTTCTCAACCTGTGGCTTGCGACCCACAGGAACTGTATTAAAGGGGCGAGGCATTAGGAAGGTTGAGAACCACTGTTCTAGAGTTTGCCGGGCATGGTAGCTCATACATGTAATCCTAGCACTCTGGGAGGCATAGGTGGGTGGATAGCTTGACCTCACGACGAGTTCAAGACCAGTCTGAGCAAGAGCGAGACCCTGTCTCAAAAAAATAGCATTGTGGAGGGCAACTGTAGTCCCAGCTACTCAGGAGGCTAAGTCAAGAGAATCACCTAAGCCCAGGAGTTGGATGTTGCTGTGAGCTGTGTGATGCCACAGCACTCTACTAAGGGCAATAAAGTGAAACTCTGTCCCTAAAAAAAAAAGAAAGAAATTATCTTCCAGGTAGATTTATTAGTTTTCCCTGAGAAAAGCCCATTTTTCCTTATCCTTGACATTACAGGGCTTTTTTCCCCATTTTAATTTAAAATGGCAATTTCTCATTGTTTTGGCTTCCATTTCTTAGATTACTAATTAGCCGGACTAGTTATTCACGTGGTTCTTTATTGCCACTTTGTCTTTTCTCCTTTGTAAACTTGTTTATGTTCTGTTTGCTCACTTTCCTATTTGTCCATTTTAAAAGTTGGGAAGTTGGCTTTATTGTTGGGGGCACTCATAAAGTAAAAGTATTAACTACTTGTCATGTATGCTACAAACGTGTTTTCTCCATTTGTATTTTAACTTTTAAGTGTTTTATGTGAGAAAGTTCTTTTATGTGCCAAAGTCTGTCAGTCTTCTTTTATGGTTTCTGCCTTCAGAGTTATGTTTATAGAGGCCACCCCCACCCCCTAATTACATATAATGTTTGTAGTTTTACCACAGAAAATAAATTTTAATAACTAGTAGTTAAAGTACTTTCCCAGCACAAAGACTCCATTTTTGTTGTTGTTGTTGTACTTCAAAACTTCCTGGTGATTCTTCCAAATGAACTTTAGAATTTCTTGTCAATATTTTAAAAAATCCTACTGGCATTTAGAGAAATTTAAGGTTCCTGTCTCTCCATTTATTCAGGTCTTATTTTACCTACCACAAGCAAACTATTTGTACATTAAATATTTAATTTTTATATTTTCCATACAATAAAATTCACAAAAATGAAAAAGTAATCTTTGTCAGATCATGTAGCTCAAGGGATCAGAAAATGTGGTCATAACATATTGCAAAATATATGTCTAGTTTGGTGGTTATAGAATGAATTTTTCTACCAATAGTGAAATAGGAAAATATTCCAGTTATTACTTAAATACTTAGTAATAACAGCATTTAGGGAGTCTTTATTCTGTGTCAGGTGTGGTGATGCATACATATCTCATTTAATCCTATGAATAACCCTATGAAACAGACTCTTCTGATCCTCATTGTTCAAATGAAAGCAACAGAAACTCTGAGATGTTCAGAAACTTACACAAGGCCACACAGCTGGACAGAGGCCTATTTGAACCAAGCAGTGCCTTGGTCTTAACCACTAAAGTTGTGTGAGAAAAGTGCCCAGTGCTGGGCCTGGCACAGAGTAAACATGAAATACATGTGGGCTAATGAGTCAGCACAGCTACCTAAAGCTTCTTCATTACTTCAGTTTTGTTTTGTTTTGTTTTTTGAGACAGAGTCTCACTCCCTTGCCCAGGCTAGAGTGTCATGGCTTTAGCCTAGCTCAAAGCAACCTCAGACTCTTGGGCTCAAGCGATCCTCTTGCCTCAGCCTCTCAAGTAGCTGGGACTACAGGCCCCTGCCACAAAGCCTGGCTAATTTTTCCAATTTTAGTAAAGACAGGGTCTCACTCTTGTTCAAGCTGGTCTGGAACTCCTGAGCTCAAGCCACCCCCCCGCCTCAGCCTCCCAGAGTGCTAGGATTACAGGTGCACGTCCCCATGCCCAACCTGAATATTACAATTTTACTGGAGTTTCATGTTCCCAAAAGATCTGTCCAAGGAGAATTCTCTCATAGGCTCACAAAGTATCTTCATCTTAGGCCAGGCATGGTGGCTCCCGCCTATAATCTTAGCACTCTGGGAGGCTGAGGAGGGTGGATTGTTTGAGCTCAGGAGTTTGAGACCAGCCTGAGAAAGAGTAAGACCCTATCTCTACAAAAAATAGAAAAAACAGCCAGCCACTGGGGAGGGTGCCAGTAGTCCCAGCTACTTGGGAGGCTGAGGCAAGAGGCTCCCTTGAGCCCAGGAGTCTGACGCCATACCCCCCAAAAAGGAGTCGTGGATGAATTCCTGAGCTCTATGCCAGCTGGAAATTGAAAGCCTTAGTAGTTGATACTTCCAAATGCCTTAGAGGCAGAAGTAGAGGGATAGTCCAGCAACAAGGCAAATGTCAAATGGCCTAACACAGTGAAAACTGTCTCAGAATTTGACATGCACAGATGGGTCCCCCAACTTCCCTTGAAGCAGCATC